GCTATAAACTGAGGTTCCCACAACCCCCTCCACTGGTTCCATTAATTTGCAAAACAACTCACAGAACTCAGGGAAACCCTTTGCTTATATTTTACCCATTTATTATAAAGGATATTACAAAGGACACAGATGAATAGCCAAATGGAAGAGATGGATAGAGCAAGGTATGTGAGAAGGGGCACAAAGCATCCATGCTTTCTCAGGACTCACCACCCTGTGGGTATCTCCCTATGTTCATCAATGCAGAACTTCCCTGAACCCAGTCCATTTGGCGTTTTAATGGAGGCTTCATTTTGTAAACACAATTGATTAAATCACTGGCTACTGGTTATTGACTCAGCCTTCAGCCCCCTTTTTTCTCCCTAGAATTGAGAGTGGGGCTGAAAGTTCCAACCCTCTAAGCACATGGTTGGTTCCTCTGGCAACCAGCCCCCTACCCTTAGGCTACCCAGAGCTCACCAAGTTGTCGCATTAGAACAAAAGATGATCCAATCAATCACATAGGGAATTACAAAGGCCTTAGGAGCTCTGTTTCAGGAACTGGAGACAGAAACCTGTATGTATACACATCTTATGTCATATTACATTATGATTTGTTTGTATTTCCCTACTAGGTATGTGTCCACTTCTGTGTCTCCAGTGCTGGTACAATGCCAGGCACAGAGTGGGTGTTCCCCTCCCCCAAATTGTTGAGCACTACATGAATAAATAAGTAAATTTAGTATAAAAAAGACAGTTTATTCTCTGATTTTTATTTATTCGTAAGCAATACAGACAGAATTCTGTGATTTCTGGCACGTAGTGCAATTTTCCTCAAGTGTTCATCTTCAGGGCAATTAAATTTGGAGTGTTCTATCGAAAAGTAAATCCTTTAAGGATTCAATGTCATATTTATTCCAACAAATATTTCACTTCCAAGATTAGGCTGTAGAAAACAACAAAAACAGATACTGCCCCTACTGTATACCAGGTTCTGTTCTAGGCGTTGTACAAGGAAGGACAAAAGTTCTGCCCTTGAAGACATCACAGACAAATGGAGAGGGACATACAAACAGTAATCCCATTCATTGGGTAGATTTCGGGCTAGAGATCTGTATAGTGCACTATGGCAGTGACAGGACAGCCTCTTAATTTTCCTACAGGGCCTGACAAAGTCTTCCCCACTAAGGTAGTCACATTTTCATTAGGTCTGAAAAGTAATAGAAATCACTTTTTCTTCTTTTAAGTCTGCTTCATTAAACCTATATTCTCAAGGACCTTCTTTAACTTGATATGCTTGTTTTCATTCAACACTGACCAATTACTGTGTAACTTTACACTGGTCTGGGCTCAGGATGCAACCAAGAATAAGACAGGCAGGACATCCCATAACTAAGAAAAACAATATTATGTAATTATTTGTGATAAGAGCTAGAAACGAGAAACACAAGGTAAGAGATTCATGTATAATTAAAATACCTAATCTAGTCTGCAAAAGCAGGGAAAGTTCCCTCAAGGAAATACTACTTCATTTGCCCAATCATGTGTGAATTTATCCCCATCTGTTCACTGAGATGAAAAACAGTAGTGTAGTGCCATCATATATATTAGGGACAAACAAAGCCCTTGGCACTTCATTTTGGCAGAGATAGGTCTTATGCGAACAGAGAGAGGGCTGAGTTCCAGAAACTATTCAAATACTTTTATATAGTAGAGCATCAATTCATGGTTAATTCCAAGGGATATTAGGCACAGAATATTTCTAACTCTGCACAACCATAGGCACCTCCTGCCAAGGTGATCCATGCTGGGTCATTGTTTGCCTGTTTGACTCCGAATTCTATTTTTCCTGCCTACTTTCCACTCCAGTTCTTACTTGCTTGGCTCCCTCTGTGCCAGTGCCAAGCCACTATCCCACCTGCAACCCACATATGCCTTGCTTCTGTCTTGTACCTCACTGGCCCTTCCTTGTGGATTTCTCTGATTCAACCAATAACACTATGGTACCATGTGTTAATTCCACACATCTGCCCTATTTCTGCTGAGGCTGATGCTGAACTGAACCCCAAGGAAGTCTTGTTACTTTTAGAGTGTGAAGAGCTGTAAAGTAAGATCTTCCAATCTAAAATCTAAGGACCATTTTGTTCAGTTAAAAAACATCTGGCCAAAATGTAGTCATAATAAATGTATGGCTAAGACTAAATATTACTAAAGATTTTAAAACAGCATTCTATCCAAATAATTAAAGCAGCTTGTGACTATTACAATCATCTTAGCCTGTACATTGAATGACTTTTCTATTTTTCAGTGGTTTTTCTGTTTTTTTCTCCCTTCCCCATTTTCTCTTTAATGTCAATTTGAACCAGCACTGTCCATTTCAAGGTCACATCATCCAGATTTAGGACAATTCCAGGGAAGTTGGTCATGAATTAAGGAGAACTCCAAAAGCCTTGTTGAGCTACAGAGATGCCAAGGGCCTTGTTGCCTATAAGAGCTAGAATCTTTTAAGCCACAGAAAATGTTCAGTCTACTTTCTTTCCTTTTAAATAAAATTCAAATTAAAATTAAAAAGAAAGAGAAGGAACCAATCACATTTCAGATTCCAGGCAGGGGTAGGAGCAAAATTACAAATGTTAATGGCCCTCAACTGGAGGAACTCGGTGTCTTTAGGATGGACTGAGATTTTCCATGTCATGGGGTAAGAACCATAATACATGTCTGGATCAAGTACTCTTGGCAGAGGAAGCAAAAGGCCCTCCTGTAAATAAAGATGGCATCTTTTACATATCTAACAAGCAGCAGAGTCTCCTAGCCATGGGATCCATTTGGCATTAGGGATGAAAACTAACTTTCCTAGAGGAGAGAAATCCCCTTCTACCCAGGAGCCTTGGCTTCTTAGCACTTTGTCCTTGTAACGTGTATAAGACCTAAACTGATTTTATAAGATCTTTGTATGTGTTCCTCAGTAGATTATATACTCATGGAGTTTATAAGTCTTTTATCATCTTGGAATCTGCTTCCTCAGTGATATTACAAAGTGCTTTGTAATAATAGCGGTAATAATGATGACAAAAATGTTAATGCAGTTGTAACTGATTTCATAACAACTTCACCCTCTTATATAATACAGTACATATTATGGTGATGTTCTAACCAATTCATGCATATGCACATAAGAGTGTGTATATGTATTAAACCTATAGACAGACACTGTTATCATGTTTATACAGATAACTGAGGCATAGAAAGGTTAATTAGTCCAAGGTCATCAGAACTAATAAATCACAAACCCCAGCTTTGAAGCCAAGAAACCCTGACTTCAGAGTTCTCCCTCTTAACCACTACACTTGTCCATGGTAATAACTTAATAAAAATATTTCTAAATATTTCTTAAATTTACTTAATATTGAGAACAGAGAAAACAAAACAGGTTAAATTCAGCATGTTTTAAATGCTAAAGACATATGCTGTTAAAGTTTGAGGTAGAACAGTGTAGTGGAAATAAAACTAGGCCACATTCTAGAGATGCTTCTGATGCTATCTGGCTGTGTGTGTCTGAGTTCCTGAAACCCATAAAGGGAGGCGAACAACTTTATAAATGATTCTAGTTTTGAAATTTTATATTTAATTGCTGTTACCCATGTGCCTTTCATTATGTCATCATCTTTATCCATCTAAACAGATATTCCAGCATGATAGGAGAAATATAAGGTATGGGAATTAAAACATTAATAAATTTTCTCTAAAATCACAGGTCTATGTACAGCAAAGAAGATCATCTATGGGGTCACATTCTTCTGGGGAAATGTTAAAATTAGGATGAGGAAAAATCAAAATGGCATATGAATAGTGGAAAGTGTGGACTTTGGAATCCAATTGACGTGTAAACTAATTCCTGTGCCCCCATGCACCATCCATATGCTTTGGAGGGCAAATTACCTAAACTTGCTGAACTTTCACTCCTCAACAGTAAAGCAAGGATAATTAGGCCTACAGGAGGGATCTTGTGAGCATGAAAATACTATGCTGAAGTGCCTAACACCCGGTATTTAATAGATGATGGTAATTAACATTTTACTCTTCTTTGATGAGTGTCAATCTTCAGTTATGGCAGTGTCATTGTTCATGAAAACTTGTCTCCTGCCAATTCCTTGTTTTAAATGGGAATACACTGTGCTGGGTGCTATAAGGATACTAAAGAATTATTAAGATATAGTCCCTGCTATTAGGGAGCTTCCAATCTACATAAGGGTGTTATGATTTAAAGGGTAATACATATATTTATTAGTTTTAACAAGAGAGAGATGCCTATAATAAAGAAGGGAGCATCAACCAGTTCAGGGTAGGAGAAATATATCTGAGGCAAATATGATCAAATAAGAATTCAGAATGTAAATAATCATAATGGCACATAATAAAGTAATGCAGTTAAGCGAAGTCCTCACTTAATATTGTGGATAGATTTTTGGAAACTGCACGTTTAAGCAAAACAATGTGCTATATAACAAAACTAATTTTACCATAGACTAATTGATATAAAGAAGAGTTAAATTCTTACAACATAAACATATGGCATTTCACTTAAAGTTCCAGTTTTCAAAAACCTACTGGTATAAAGTGAGGTCTTACTGTAACCTCTTGTGATGTGTGTATATAATGCCTCCTTGGGCACATTGGCCTTCTGAATCATTCCTCATCATTGCAATTCACACAGAAATAAAAAAGAATTCAATCCCAGCATGAACCTTGTCATAAATTCTATTACAATTTACTTCAATTTGTTTCCATGTGACCTTAGAATTTAATATTATGGGCTGAAACTCTACCTGAAATGACCAATTATCACTTTCTCTAATTCTTTTGAAGTGTTAAATGCAAATTACTATCTAGTTCAACATCTCTCCCCAACACCTTTTAAAAGGATTGTGGGTCCTCAACAGTTTTGTTTTGTTTTTAAAGTCATGGGCCTCTCTTATCAAACAGATCTCCAACTTGACATTTCTTAAACATTCCTTCCCTAGATTTTTATTGGTGAAATATCCATGTATTTCATAAAATCAACAAGAGAATCCCTGATTGCTCAGGAGAAAACAATTCTAACCGGAGAATGCTGTTACCTGAACCCCTTACTTCGAAGGATCATAAGATTCACAGGTGAGTACAAGACGGTGCTGAACTAAGCTCTCACATAAAAGTGAAATTACTAAAGACAATCACTAGATAAGATAAGCTATGGAAGTATCAACATTAAAAGCAAGGGCTGTTTTGGGGATTTTCTAAGAAGTGCAGAAATTGAGCCTGATCCTACTGCCACATCAAATTTTTGACCCTTGAAGTGGTACTTCTTAAATTGTCTTATGTGTGATTTCAACTGATTTTCCCCACACACAGTAGTTACCTTAGATTCCCCTGAACGTATGTTTTAATATTGACTGGATATTGCTATACACCTTTTGGCAGAGTCAGGCAAGGGGTTGGGGTGAGGGAGCATCAGGGGACACCAGTAAAATAAATTTAGAAATAATCAAATTTCCTGACAGAGATTTCCCATCCAGTAATTTTGTTATGCAGGGAATTTAACAAAGAGTGGGAAATCTCAGCCATCAGGTTCTTGAAAATAATGCCTTTTCAAAGTTGGAAAACAAATGCTTTTATTAGTGTTCATGATAGAGAATAATGAAGGCATATTCTACATCTCTCCTTCTAGGAATTTTATGAAAAGTGAGGTGCTAGTGATTAATAATTGCAGATATGGGAATAAATGTGTATGGGTACAGGTAGGAATGGAGATCTTACAAAGTTCCTACACATTAAGTACTCTATAAATGATAACTATTACAGTATTCTAATGAGATCCTACAAATGCCTACTGACCAGATGTTTAAGGGAGCCATGATACCATTTAGAACAAGAGAACTGACAACTGAGAAAGTGAGGGTCATGCTCTCAACAAGCCTTTTGGTAATCCTTAATCTTTTTTTTTTTTTTCCTGTTGTAGGAAAGGATTGAATTTCTTCAAGTAATAAGCAAATACTACATCAAAATCAAATATGTAATAACTTGTCTGTTTGGAGTGGAAATGAAAGAAATAGTGCAGTGGGAAACCTAAGAAAATCTGATTTAAAAGAAGTAACCCTTAGCATTAAAATAGTCTCAGGCATTTGATGTTATTTGCAGAATAAAATTTTTGCAGACAGTGGAAGTTTGCAACTGGCTTACAGGTATACCCTGGTCAATATGATGCCACTACTCTCTAGTTCACTCATTCCGAACAATGGTTTGTTCCAAAGATGTCCAGAGTTTGATCACTTCCCAGAGGGGCAAGATAAGACATCAAGGGGAAATGAGGAGAGAAGAGAATATTTATTATACAGAACACTGAACTAGACATTTTACATACATTATTTCATTTAATCTATCCAAAACCCTGTACGGTATTTTATTTTATTTTTTAGACAGAGTCTTGCTGTCTCCCCAGGCTGAAGTGCAGTGGTACGATCTCGGCTCACTGCAACCTCCATCTGCCAGATTCAAACAATTCTCCTGTCTCAGCCTCCTGAGTGGGTGGGATTACAGGTGCCTGTCCCTAATGGTGGATAATTTTTTGTATTTTTAGTAGAGAGGGGTTTCACCATCTTGGTCAGGCTGGTCTTGAACTCCTGACTTCAGGTGATCCACCTGCCTCAGCCTCCCAAAGTGTTGGGATTACAGACATGAACCACCATGCCCGGCCCCTGTAATGTATTTTATAGTCCTAGTTGTACATATGAAGAATCTTGACAGGAAATGGGGTAAAGTAACTTTTCCCAAGGAGTAACGCATGCACACACACGTACATAATTTGATTCAGGGAAGATTTTATGACCACTGTCCAACCTGCTTCCTGTACATGTAATTACAGCAAGTTATTTAAAACAGAGATCTGTTACAATTAAATTGGAATACCTTTAAAAGTCACTGCTATTTCCCTTGGCAAAGATAAATTACACCTTTTGTGACCCACACACCTGGAGCAGAGTCCAAGGAATAGAAATTTTGACTGGCACTTGTCATTTATATAGACCTCTATGCAATGGTAGCACAAGTGTCTGTTCATTGAGGGAAGCCAGAAGATCCCTACCATCCAGGAACCAGTCCTCTAGATTGTCTGTTGTGGTATCTAAAACTCCCACTTGAGACACCACATTGTAGTGAGGCATGGTTCAGGAAGACCACTGTTAAAGTAGAAATTTGTCACCCTGGAGGAGCATCAAATTCCCACTTATAATCAATGACACATTAGTCCATTTGGATCTGTCATAAGCTAATAGAGATCTGGACCTTGGGAGGATAAGCCAGAGACATTCAAATAAGGTGAGTTAGTGTTCAGCATCATGAGATTCTGCTTCTAAAGAAGGGATGCTAGAGCAGAGATAGCCAAAAGGTAACATTTAAACTTTGGAGAATTAGAGGAAACAGCATTGAAAGGTTAGGGGGATTGCTGGGTTTAGGAAAAAAAAAAAAAAAAGCACTTGCTTCATGCTTTCCCTCTTTTGTTTTTTATGACTCTAGGATCCACCCAGTTGTTCAAGTAAAAAACCTGAGAGACACCTTACGCCATCTGGGAACTTGTTAGAAATTCTTAGGCCTCATTCTATACCTGCTAAATCAGAAAATATGGGGATTAAGTCTGATTATTTGTGTTTTCACAAGTCATCCAGGTGATTCTGATGCATGGAAAGTTTGAGAACCACTGGTTTAGGTGATTAAAAGTTCTTGTCTCCCTAAATCTTCTTTTGCAATATCATTGCATTCACCCCAGCCCCACAAAGCTACCATCTGTTAACCATTTTGTAGCTATTGACCTTTTTGAAGCAAAAGTATGAGAAAGCCAATTCTCTGCTTAAAACCTTTCAATAGATTTCTAGTGTTCTTAACATAGCCTACAGAGCCCTTCACAATCTGAGGTCCTCACATGTCTCCAGCCTCATCGCCTTTCACAATCTGAAGTCCTCGCATGTCTCCAGCCTCATCCAGAGCCACTCCCTGGTGAGACCCTCTCCCATCATGCTAAACAGCTTCACATGCCCTCCAAAGGAAAGTGTGATGCCTTGCCTCAGTACCTGTACATGTGCTGCTCCTTCAGCCTAGAATATTCTGTTGCCACCCTTTCACTCTAGAAGCTGGCCAAACCCTACTCATCTTTAGAATGCTGTTTAGACATTACCTGTTTACCAATCCCATCAACTAGTTGCCTTGTCTTCTAGGCCTCCACTGAGCCTTGCACCTACATCTGTTATAGGCATTTCTCATATTACTATAATTACTTAAATCTGTTACTCCTGTTAATTTGTGATCCCTTGGAAAGCAGAAGTTATATCTTTTGCATTCCGTATCAACAGCATACTTCAAAGTACCTGGCACACAGGTTGCTGCCAAAAAATGATTTTTGAGAGGTGATATGGTTTGGTTTTGTGTCCTTACCCAAATCTCATCTTGAATTGTACTCCCATAATTCCCACATGTTGTGAGAGGGACCTGGTAGGAGATAACTTGAATCATGGGAGTGGTTTCCCCCATACTGTTCTCATGGTAGTGAATAAGTGTCAAAACATCTGATGGTTTTATCAGGGGTTTCTGCTTTTGCGTCTTCCTCATTTTCTCTCTTTGCCCGCTGCCATCTATGTAAGATGTGACTTGCTCCTCCTTGCCTTCTGCCATGATTGCAAGGCTTCCCCAGACACATGAACTGTAAGTTCTTCATTAAACCTCTTACCTTTGTAAATTGCCCAGCCTTGGGTATGTCTTTATTAAGGTGAATGAAAAGCAAATATAAACTTTGCTAAATCACAGATTTGCCTAGAACTAGTTTCATAAATGCTGATTCTTAAGTATTCATTTGCCTTCTGTTTAATTAACTTTATTACCACTTTCAGCTTAGTCCTAGGAAATTAAAGTTCATAAATAAGATAATTTCTAAGAGAAAGAGAAGTCTGTTCTGACTTTTCATGTAGGAAGGGTGAAGGAATGGGTCTATTTATCTTGAGAAGGGTAAGTTCCTCTGAGTATGTGTGAATTTTTTTCACAAGAAAGGGTACTACTTAGAATAAAGACTGTTTAAATGGAAATGTTTTCTTTGGAAAAAATTAGAGTAAAATAAGGCAGTAATCAAAATATACTAGAAAAACTTATTTTGAAGAGCTTAGTCTTTTTTCTAGCCCCAAAGCTACCAAAATACATACTACGCAATTGACATAGGAAAATGACAACTGTTTCAGCTAACCATTCTAACGAACCAGAAATGGCATGACTTTTCTCTTGCAGTTTATGTAATTATTCTACAATCCACTACAAATAGTATTTTCCAAAAAATATCAACTTCACATTGTAAAAAAAAGGCCAATGAATTAATTTTTAAGAAAACAAGGCTTTATGCTGTAAAAGATGAAAAAACTTGGGATTCTAATACAATTCTGGTAAAAGTAAATTGATATTTAACCCTTTCTGCATTGCAATTTGACAGTGTATTTCAATAACCTTACAAATAATGGTCTTTTTTTAACTCTAATGAAACAATCGGAAATGTAGATTAATTTTTGTGAACTAAAATTATTTTATAAGTTAGATAGGTCTAATTTTTGAAAAGAAATAATGCTGCCATTTTAAGTTGCAACCTCAGAAAATGGTATTAAGAATTTTTCATGTAGAATATTCATGATATGTGAAGTCAAAACACTATGAATCCATAATTGTTTTTAAATAAAAAGAATACAACATTATGTAAGTGTATATGTGTATTTGTGTGTGTGTTGTCCATAGCAAAGAGACTGAAGGGAAATACACTAAAAATTAGCTGTTGTCACTTCTGAATTGTAGGATAATGAGCAAATTGGGCAAATAATTTTTGGCTTTCTAATGTTCTGTAATTTTAATTTTTTATCATGAATGTGTACTTTTAGAAATCAGAAAAAGAACTAAAGATAATTTTTTTTAAGAGTGAGGGCAAAATAAAGGCCATCCAGAAGGATGGCCAAGTTCTCTAACACAGTCTGCAGTGTGGATAGAAGAGCAAAAATGTCAACTTGCTTCTCTAATTCTTTGTCTCTGTGTGGCATGGATTTGAAGGTTAGGCTTCTGCTTCACCCCACAGATCCAAATTAAGTTTTAAATGAGAC